TATATATATATATATATATATATGTGTGTGTGTGTGTGTGTGTGTGTTTATATATACATATATTTAAAATCTCTAGGCCTTTCCACCCCATTAAAAAAAGAGCATAAAAAGGGAAGAATGACAAGGGATTAAATAGAACTATCTTATAGATTTATTAATGAAAAATACTTTACAAAAACAGTATGTTTGGACCTAAAATAGTTCAGCTGACTCTGAAGGTTTACAATGGTGACTGAGCAAGAAGTAATGGCTCTGTTGCTGAGGACAGGACAGTGTGTTAGTGTGCCTGACTCCATCCATTCAGAAGGGTGAATGTTATATTGGCAGCTCTGCATTCTAGGCCTAAGGTCTGGGAGCACAGGGAAGGCTGGTATAGACCATAACTGGGCAGCTGGGCTGCCCTGAAATGATGTGGTCTGCATCATGACCACAAGGCTACATGTCTCTCCAAGGATGGGAGAGGGCCAAGACAGAGGGTCAAATTATGATAGGTGGATAAAACAGAGAAGTTGGGAATATAGTAGGGAACAGACAATGTGGGCTCAAGTGGAGGTAGGGGATAAAATACTCAGGAATAAAAGTGTGACCATAAGATCCTAAGGAATGGCTAGTGTCCAGAATAGTTTCATGGATTCATCTTTAAAGTGGCTCAAATAAAGCCCTGAATAGCAGCTGCTTCCTTTTGCTAGGGGAATGAAAGTTGAAATTTTAACTACCCCCTCCAAAAAAGCCAGGTCTCTTCAGAGTTTCCTGGATGAGAACGGCACAACCATGGCAGGGCTGCAGGGTACCACCTCTGCCATACTACAGTTTTAGAGAAAAGTGTGGCTCCAAGTAAGGCGATCATTACCACCTGCTGTGCTGCAGGACTCTGGCTCTAACCTGTTCTCTTTCAGGGGCATCTGCTAGAACAAACAGAAAACCCTCTGCCCTTGTCCTCCTGTGTCCAGGCTGGGAGGCATAACTGCTTTGCCTCCAGTCATCATCTGGGGGCATATCTATTCTTCGAGGGCCAGGGGCTCGGGACCCTGGAACAGGACTTGAATTCCAAGCTGACCTAGGGTTAATGTGAAGACTGCTAGATGGTGGGGACACACAGTGAACAATGGGACGGTGGGAGTGTGAATGGAAAATATCCCCCCATGACTGAGCATGAGGAACCTGAATGCCCTGGCGTCTTTCTGGTAGTGTGGCAGTGTGGGTTAGCTGAGGCTTGCACCCTGGAGTAGTCAGGTATCTGGCCCCAATATGCTGGTTGGTCTCTGACCAGGGTCCCCAGGAGGCATCTGTTCTGGAACGATGAGGGAGACTCTGGTAGTTCAAAGTGTTTCCGGTGTACTTGATCCCTTGGGCAGTTTCACCCCTGTCACACATAGCCAGAAACTGCTGGATATTCCTTGAAGTTCCTGTGGAAAGAAAAGAAACCCAAAGATTAAGCATCTTCAAAAAAACATTTTCCTTCCCAGTGGACCATTCCTGGCTGTCCTACACAACTCCCCACTCCTCCAAAAACATACACACAGGTAAAGAAGGAACCTTAGCTTTGCTTCTGATTTCAAAAATTCTTAATATTCATCTAAGTCAATTCTCTTACATCCAACCTGGTCATAAGAAACAGTCTCCTGGATGTTGCCACACTTCTACCTCACGCCACTGTAATACTTCCTCCACACTACACACACACACACACACACACACACACACTGTCTCTCTCTCACACAGACACAAATACACACAGCTCTCTAACACAGCAAATGTATGCTCCTTCTGTGACAACTCTGCTGTTTAAGGTACTACTCTAAAACCCCACTCAGCTTTTCTTAACATGGCACCTTCATTCCAGTTTAGCTGCCTATGCTTACATTCTTACTCAATCTCAGATCTCTGCTTTTATTCACACCACTTCTCCCATATATATAATGTGCAATGCTTGTTCTGTACATTTATTTGATCTTGGGCTGATAACTCTTTTTGGGGGGTGGGAAGAGACTGGCTTGTGAGTTGTATGATGTGTAGCAGCATCCTTGGCCTCTACCCACTTGGATTGTCTGTGTTTATACCCATGACACGGGTACTCTATGTACAGGGTCTTTCCAGGTTTCCTGTTCACTCTTTATCTTCTAGACCACACCTCAATTGAGACATGGAGGACAGAAGGAGAGAAAACTAGCTGACAGAGATGAAATTTTCTGTTTAGGGGATCCCAAAGACTGGGTATTAACTTTCCCGTCACCTAGAAGCATACTCTATCATGACTGAAGCATTTCATTCTTGTGAGTAGACAGATTCCAGGGGTACTGATTTAGACCCGTGGTCTAAGAACCATGCTTCCCAAGAAATGATTCGATCACAATTTATCTAGATCAATACTTAATCATAAAGCAGTAATTTATATCCTACCCATCCTACCTTGGAACAACCTTACCTCTAACCTCAGCCCCCATAAAAGTGTACTGATTAGATATTTAGAATCCCCTAAAAGGGTCCCATATGCTGGCATATAATAACAGATTGAGGGAAAGTTACCTGGGAGTCTATGGGGCTCCCCTGCCACGCTGGACATCAGGACATCTGGGGACAGGAACTGTGGTTGGGGAGGGTAGAGTTGGGAAGCAAGGAGAAACACAGGAGGGTCATGGATGACAGAGAGGGATGAGGAGCTGGAACAACGGTGCCCGGTCTCCAAAGGCTTTTTCCTCACGTTTGATGAATCCTTATAATGAGACAAGACAAAGAAAAAAACACAGAGATGAGGATTAACACACAGTAGGATGTAGTGGGGTAAACACAGTAAGGCAAACAGGGAGAAATGGAGGGAACTACAGTACAAACATGCCTTATTCCGGAGAGGGAACCTGATTTACTCAGCCACTCTCCCTATCAACCTCTCTAGGAAATGCCAAACTTCAGATGCTCCTCCCTTAACCAATCTTCCACACGTCCCTCACCTTCCCAATCCTACCTTTCAGGTCTTTAGTAAATTCCTTAATGCTAACAGAATTTGAGACTGAAATAAAAAGTAAAGAAATGAAAGCAAGAAATTCAGAAAAAGCCTGACAGATTGAGAACAAATTCTACACTTACTCTATCAGGAACTAAAATGTATCTGCCTTAAACGTACAATTAAGAACACCAAGCCACCTTCTCTCCTGTCACTGTGACAACTCCACAAGTTCCTCTTCTGTCTAGTTTGTGTTTCCTGATGCTTATATCATGGCATATTCTCTATTAGTTATTTGCTTTTGGGATGAAGACCCAGAAATACCTCATTTAACATTTGAAACACTAGTATTTCTGAAACTGAACCAAATCCTTCCTAACTCCTCCTCCTAGAAACCTCATTTTCCCGTTACCTGGATTCAAACACTGGCATTATCCGTGATTTCCATTTCCCATTCACAATTCCAGTAGCTGCAAGTATGTCATTTCTACCTATGGATTTCATATGTAAACTCACCAAGATCTACAACCGCCTTTGCTTCTTAACACCATCTAACACCTGCTTACTGTGGCCTACAAGGACCCATGTAATATGTCCCAGCTGATCTTTTTCACTTTATCTCCTACAATTCCTGTACATTTTACACTTCAACTTCTTAAAGTTTCTGTCTTTCTTAAATGAGTCAGTCAGAGAGAGAGACAGCACTCCCAAAAAAGGTCTTGATACCTCAGTACACCCCAGCCTCAGACAGCCCTGGATTATGGGCATGCATACATCCAGTGTACTCGGTGAGGACTCTGGATATTAATCCAAAACCTTTCCATGTGGGCCAGCCTGACAGTGAGTCATATTTTAATGCTGTGCCACCATCCAGCCTGACTCTTAATGTTCCTGAAACATACGAAGCTCATTCCTACCTCAGACCTTTATAGTTAACTGTTTCTATTACCAGAATTTTCTTCCCATGGCTCGGACCTTATCACTGAAGTTCAAAATATTACTTCCTTAGAGCTGATTTTCCTCACTAACATATCAAAAATAGCCCTGAGAAAAACCATTATTATCTCTTCATTCCTTATTCTCTTCCCTATTTTATTCTTTATCATATTTATCATTGTCTAAAGTTTTATAATTTGTTCATTTGTCTATCCCTAGTAAAATTAATTTCTTCTTGAGACCAGCAGGTGCAGTGATGGTTAAGGTGCTAGATTCCCACATGGTCGACACAGTCCACCCAGTAGCTTTAAGATCACAACAAATATTGGGTCATCAAAAAAATCATGATGCCATTTTTGTATAGAAAAACAGAAAAAAATACATCATGACTTTTCCGATGACCTAATAAATAAATAGATGTTTAAAAAAGAAAGGACATATTTTTTAAAAATGTGATATAATTACTTTAAATATATATATATATTCCTGGGACTGACAGGTAGTGTGGTGGTCAAAGCACTGGACTCCCACATGGCCAATTGCAGTTTGAGTCCCAGACTTGGCGGTTTGCATTCTCACTTTCTCTATTTCTCTCTGGTAAGTGAGTGTGTCCTGTAGCAAATTTAAAAGATAGCAATAATAAATAAAATTAAATAAACAAGTATTTAAAAATAATAAAAATAATACATTTCCTCTCACTTTAGTATCCCCAGCATCTTGAATAGCACCTGAAACAAGGCTGGTACAAATTAAATAATCTACGTGCCAGCATATCTTATTTCCGTTAGTTGACTGAAGCTATTCGAAGATAGAACTTGTATTGTTTCACAAGTGTATGTTCATAGCACTTAAAGGTACAAAGGGAAGAGTGTTTCGAAAAGAATTAATTGGCAGTGTCACATGCTAAGAGGACTAGTACCTGTTCCTTAAGCTAAACTGTAAATGTAACAGGAGAAAAGATGCTCTAGTCTCTTTTTCTCTCCTTTTGGGTCTCTTCAAAAGAACCACCTTAAATTTGATGCTCTTTAGGGATATATTCTGGCTCTTCTCTTCTTTTTGCATACCTTTTCTGTTTCCAATAGCTACTACTCCCGAATTTCAATTTCTAAAATTTTACATTGTATATCCAAAGTCATGCCAGAGATCTACACTCAAATTTAATACATCTAAAATTGAACATATATCTTCCCTAAAATGTATTATTCAACCTATAAAACTTGAGTATCATCCTTGATACTCCTCTATCCCCACAACCAGGCAGGTACCAAGTTCGTTAATGTTTACTTCCTAATTGGCTCTCCAGTATCTATTTCTCTCTATCCTTTCTTGCTGTAGGTGAGAGAAGTCATACACAAAGGTCTCTGTGGTCCATGATTTGACTCATTTATATTCTTTACAACAATCTCACATCTTAATAGTCTCTATTATCTTTCCTTGTCAGACTCTCTAATCCTGTCATACCAAAAGAGCTTCATTTAATTCAGTTAATATTTTTTAAAGAATTATTTTATTTAACTTTATTTATTTATTTATTTGTTTTAATTTGACCAGGGAGGAAAGGAGTAAAGAGACAGAGAGAGAAAGTGAGAAAGCAAGCCGCCAGGTCTGGGACTCCAATCATTGTCAGCAAAGTGGGAGTCCACAGCCCTTAATACCATGCCACCTGCTGACCCTAATTCAATTAATATTTGCTTCAGGTCTCTTTACCTGCTATATTCTTTTCGCTCCCCCCAGGAAGCCTTGTCTAATATCTGAAGCCTAGTTTAGATGATCTTTCTATTATGCTCCTGTAGCACCACATCTTTATCCCACTATAATTGTTTACTTGTCAATTTTTTTTTTGAGAGATTTTTGCTATGGGGCACATAAGCTTACAAGAGAAACAGAGACAGGAACCAGCAGTTAGCATAATGGCTATGTCGCTGGACTCCCATGTAGTCGACCGCGGTTCGAGTCCCGGACACGGTAGCTTAAAACTCACGCCGGGCGCGTGTGGGTGCGTGCCCAAGATCCCGAGAGGAGAATGGAGGAGAAGGGATTGCGGCATGACCGTCCCCCCAGGGGGTGATTTCTCGCTTTCTGTCTCTCTGTCTCTCTGTCTGTCTGGCGAGCGCATGTGCCCTATAGCAAAAACCTCTCCAAAAAAAAAAAAAAAGAGAAACAGAGACAGAAAGCAAGAAATCATACTCTAAGGGGGATAGCCATGGAACAATCTCTTATCCTCCTTTCTCCTGTTGGGATTTTGGGTACACATGCTATGCACCCAGTGTGACTTTTTTTTTGGAGAGGTTTTTGCTATAGGGCATGTGTGCTTGCCAGAAAAACAGGAAGAATGAGAGACGGAACGTGAGAAATCACCCCCCAGGGGGATGGTCATATTGCAATCCCTTTCCCTTCCCCTCCATTCTCCTCTCGGGATCTTGGGAACGGAACACACGCACACGCACCCAGCGTGAGTTTAAGCCACCAGGTCCAGGACTTGAATAGCAGTCAACTACATGGGAGTCCAGAGACATAGCCATTACACCATCTCCTGGTCCCGCCCAGTGTGACTTTCAAGTCACCAGATCTGGGACTCCAGCTATGCCTTAACCACCACACCACCTGTTGGTCCACCCTCAGTAAATTGTAACCTCCATAAAAGCAGGGACTATATCTAACTCACTCATCACTGTACTGCCAGCACCTGGCACAACACCTAGAATGTAAGTTCAATAAACATTTGTTTAAAGGAATTAAACAATTAATAAATGAATGATACACAAGTCAGAAGAAAGAAAGCCAGCTCTCCTAAGAAAATAACAGTTTTGGGCCTGGCAGGTGGTGGAGATGGTTGGAGTGCAGGACTCCCACATGGCCGACAGTGGTTCGAGTTCCAGACCTGAAGGCTTGCTTTCTCACTCTCTCTCTCTCTCTCTGTCTGTCTTTCTCTGGTGAATTAAAAAAAATAATAATAGTGATAGTAAATAAAATTAAATAAATAATTTAAAAAGAAAATAATAATTTGTCACTTAATTAATTGAAAATACAATCCTATGAAGGTCGCGAGAAAGGAAGGGCTTGTGGTGGTTCGGCCATTTCTCCACTCTTCAGACTCTCTGCTCTCGCAGGGCTTCCAGCAGCGCCATGCTGGGACAGAGCATCTGGAGGTTCACGACCTCTGTGGTCCACAGGAGCCACTATGAGGAGGGCCCGGGGAAAAATCTGCCATTTTCAGTGGAAAACAAGTGGCGGGTAATGCCTGGATCTGGATTTGCTGCACCTTTCTCTATAGTAAGACACCAACTACTTAAGAAATAAGGATGTTTTAATTCATCCATTTAATAGATATGAAGAACATTTTAAGAAGCGCAGTCACAATCTCTGGAAAATGGACCAAACTCTTAAAATCATAGTATACTGAATATGTTTGTAAATAAACTGAAGGCCTGAATGCAAAAAAAAGAAAAAACAGTCCTATAGGTTCCATATCTATGGATTCAACTAATCAAGGATCAAAAATGTTTAGGAAAAAACATACAATAATTTTAAAAAATTAAAAATATAAATAAACAAAATATTTTATATATCACTTATATTGTATGAGCTATTACATATAATCTAGAGATTGTTTTAAATTATATTTAAGAATATACATAAGTTATGTGCAAATATGGGACCAGCAGTTGGCGTAATAGCTATGTCGCTGGACTCCCACATAGTTGACTGCGGTTCAAGTGCCAAACCTGGTGGCTTAAACTCATGTCAGGCATGTGTGTGTGCATGCCCAAGATCCTGAAAGGAGAATGGAGAAGGGATTGTGGTGTGGCCATTCCCGCTGGGGGGTTTTATTTCTTGCTTTCTGTCTCTGTCTCTGTCTTTCTAGCAAGTGCACGCGCCCTATAGCAAAACCTGTCAAAAAAATAAAAAGTCATGTGCAAATACTACATTGATTTTGCAGATATTGGTATCCTCAGGGAAATCAGAACTTCCACAGATACAAAAGGACAACTGTATATGAGAACAATAGCTAGATCACTTTTTTCTTTTCTTTTTTTTTTTAAAGAGAAATTTTTGCTATAGGGCACATGTGCTCACCAAAGAGACAAAGACAGAGAGATGGAAAGCAAGAAATCACCCCCCCAGGGGAATGGCCATGCAGCAATCCCTTTCCCTCTCAGAATCTTGGGCACACACACACACACACACACACACACACACACATATATGCTGGTGTGAGTTTTAAGCTGCTGGGTCTGGGACTAAGGTCAACTACGTGGGAGTCCAGCAATGTAACCATTACACCATCTGCTGGTCCCCTAGATCACTTTAAAAAAAAATAGAAGCATGTCCTGATTTGTTTAGAAATTTAGGAACGATGATTGGAAAAAAAATAATGAACACCTCTTCAAGAAAGAGGCTGGATCTGAAGAGTGGTAGGACAGAAACTGAGTTTTCACACTATGTCCTTTTTAAAAATTTTTGCACCATGTATTTAAGACCTGTTTTTATATTTTGATTGAATCAATCTGATGAATAATTAATGTACTAATGCTCTGCATTCTGACCCCTATTTTTTTTTTTTGGAGAAGTTTTTGCTATAGGGCATGTGTGCTCACCGAAAAGACAGAGAGACAGAGAGACAGAAACCAAGAAATCACCCCCCAGGGGTGATCCCCATACCACAGTCCCTTCCCCTCCATTCTCTTCTCATGATCTTGGGCACACACACACACATACCCAGCGTGAGTTTAAGTGGCAGGGTCTGAGACTCGAACAGCGGTAGACTACATGGGACCTAGGGACATAACCATTACGCCATCTGTTGGCCCCCATTCTGGCCCCTATTGAAATGAAAACTCATCCTGTCTCACACAAGTTTGTGAAATTCTCAAAAGGTATGATTATCAACAAACTCAGCCATTAATATTGGGTCATTGAGAAAGTCATGACACATTTTTGCATAGAAAAATATGTCATGACTTTCCCGACAATCTAATAGCATTTGAATTGCTGATCTCCACTGGATTATCCTGTTCCTTCCACCTATAGACTATGGCATTAATACCGTATGAAAAGCCAAAAGAAGGATTTTAAATCATTTTTTGTTTTCTTGCTAATGCACGTGCTTCACTTTAGATTTGAAAACACACTGTATCCCAATCAATTATTTAATGAAATAGGAAGAAAAAGCAAAACAATACTCCACCCCATTTCTTTTTCCTTCTTTCTTTCTTTGTTCATTTTTTTAAATTTGTCAGAGGGCATTTGTGCTCACCAAAGATAGATAGAGGAAAAAGCACCTCCCCAATAGAATGTGGTCATGCCGCAATCCCTTTTTTTCATTTCTCCACCCTATCAGGATTTAGGGCACACATGTTCAGCATGTTTTTCAAGCTACCAAGTCCAGGACATCTGGGCTCCAGCTCCCTTAACCATTAGGTCATGGAGTCAGCCCTTCTCTCTTCCTTTGATTAGTGTAATGGTTCTGACTTAATCAGCACCCTTTGCTTCTCAAATTACTCTTAAGGCTACTAGACTCTTCTCACCTGAAGGAAACCTATAACATGCTTTTTAGAGCTAGTACAGAAAAGGGACAGTCTCCTGGGCTCCACTTGCATGTGTGTAAATAATGACTACATCTCCTCATTTTTGTTGAGTGCACATGGCTTTCCCCAAAATTACAACCTTCAGTCCTTTCCACCTGCACTGTAATTTTATCTAGCAAGATAAAGGTGTTCTGAATAGATGGGTGCCAATTCTATTGATACTTACAAAACTGTAGGAAGACACTAGAGCCTTCTCTCACTCTGAGACAGCTGTGCCACTTAGACCAATGAGACCGTATGAGAAGTTTTCTGGACTGTGCTGTTCATCTTCCCTATGCTCCCTGCAAGGCCTTGGCCAGGTGCAGCCTTCAAACACACAGTCATATACATAACACCAGACTGGTGGTTTTCCCACAGATCCTGTCTTCAGAGATATTGGAAAGACTCACTAGTAGACACCTAAATTAAATGGATTGGATAGGATAGTGGCCATGTGGCAATCTCCTCTCACTGAAAAGAAGTATAATCACAAATCTTGTTCTCTTTTGACAGCCCTACATTATCATGCTTCTGCTTCAAAAACCCTACCACTCACATCTTTTTTCTTTTCTTTTCTTTTTAGGTTTTTGCTGTAGGTTACGTGTGCTTGCCAGAGAAACAAAAAGAAAGAAAGTGGAAATCATGCCCCAAGGTGCTTGGCCATGTCACAGTCCCTTCTTCTCCACTCTCCTCTCAGGATTTTGAATATGCACACACACACATTCCTGGCATGATTTATCTCTCCAACCCTCCTTTCCCAACATATCACCCTTAGGCCCAGTACCTTAGCACCTGAGGCTGCCACCTGGGAAGCAGGCACTGGGCTGGCTTCACACAGACTGTGCTCCATTTCTGCTGTTGGAGTCTTTGAGATATCAAGACCAGGAGCTGAGTGTAACCTTCTCCCTGTGCCATCTGTAGACCCTGAGGAAGAAAATGTAAACACAAGTTTAAGCCACCTCTTCTCCTGGGGCCTAAATGCTGAGCCTGGCAGTACAAATTCAGTTCTTATTAAATGACTAAAATTCCAGGAGCATATCTTTTTAAATCCAATGGAGGCCATGCTCCTGAAATTTAGAAATAAGATTTTCAGAATATAGATAGTCTCCTATGGGCCACAAGGACCTTTGATCATAGCCCTTGAAGAACTTTGTAGAGAAGGGGCTCTGTGGACAGACAGCTGAATGTCCCCATCTTGCCTCATTTCATTTTTATAAACTTAATAAGCTTCTGTTAGACTTAGGGCTATATATACAAGACATGCGCTATATACACAGGAAATTATCTGACACAGTAATTTTTAAGAATGTGGTGACACAGGAAACTATTATCTCAGTCTAATTCAAAACTAAAATGATCATGGTAATCATATATCAAACCTTCTTATTTAATCTAACAGAAAATGAGTTCCAGGATCTAACAAGTACTTTACTAGTTTAACTAGTATTAAAATTCAAGTCTAATGACTTTTTTTATTTTAAGAAATATTTTTGCTATAGGGAGCATGCACTCACTGGAGAGACAGAGAGACAGAAAGCAAGAAATAACCCCTCAGGGGGATAGCCACGCCACAATCCCTTCTCCTCCATTCTCCTCTCAGGATTTTTGGGCATGCTAGTACACACACCTGGTGTGAGTTTTAAGCCACTAGATCTGGGACTCGAACTGCAATCGACTATGTGGGAGTCCAGCAACATAACCATTATGCCATCAGCTAGTCCCTCAAGTCTCTTGATTTTAAGCATGGTACACTTTATCATCTCACCTGGTAACTCCTATTAAAATAAAGGCTCTTCAGAACAATTTGCATGTACAATACTCTTTTTACTTCCCCCTATTAGCTTCTCTCTGTCATTTAAATTCTTGTGTTTTTTTTTTTTTTGGGGGGGGGGGGGCAGGCAGGGGGTGTGGTAGTTAAGGTGCTGGACATTCCCGCATGGCTGACCATGACCATGGTTCAAGTCCTGGACCTGGTGGCTTGTTTTCTCACTTTCCCTCTCTCTCTGTCTCTCTCTGGTCAAATTAAAATAAATGAAAGAATAAATAAAATTAAATAATTTAAAGAAAAAAATTCTTTTTTTTAAGGTTTTCACCATAGGGCGTGTGTGCTCACTGGAGAGAGATGGAGAGAGGGAAAGTGAAAAATTATCCCTCAAGGGAGATGGCCACACTACAGTCCCTTCTCTTCCATTCTCCTCTTGGGATTTTGGGTATGCATGAACACGAGCTTGTCATAATTTCCTTTTCTTTTTTTTTGGAGAGGTTTTTGCTGTAGAACTTGTATATTCATCATAAAGATAGAGAGAGACAGAGAGACAGAAAGCGAGAAATCACCCCCAGGGAGGATGGCCACACCACAATCCCTTCTCCTCCATTCTCCTCTCGGGATCTTGGGTACACACACACATGCACCCAGCATGAGTTTAAGCCACCAGGTCCAGTACTCAAACCGCGGTCGACTACATGGGAATCCAGCAACATAGCCATTACGCTAACTGCTGGTCCCAATATTTTTTCTGGTTTTCTATGTAAAAATGCATGATGACTTTTCTGACAATCTAAAATATTTACCTTCTTTTCCAACAATTTTATTCCTGTGAATAAGAATATAAAATACCAGTTCATAACATATCTGTAAGGATGTTTTCTTTGGGGATTGTTTGTAGTAACCAAGAACTAGAAATAAAATAATGTCTGTTGGGGTCAGTAGGTGACAGGGTGGTTAAGGCACTGAACTCCCATATGGTTGATTGAGGTTTGAATTCCAGACCTGGCAGTTTGCTTTCTGACTACCCCTCTCTCTCTCTCTGTCTCTCTCTGATGAGTCCACGTCCCCTGTAGCAAATTAAATAATAATAATAATAATGATAAATAAAATTAAATAGTTATTTTAAAAAAATAATAATGTCTGTCTATAGCATAATGCTAAATACATTACGGTATCCTAAATATCAAATACTGCACAGCTGCTAAAAAGAATGAATTGAATTAAACTTGATGATATGGAGCAAATTTCATGCAATATTGATGATTTAAAGGAAAAAATTTGTAATATGATCCCCAAGCAAAAAAACATACATGCTTAGGTATACACAGGATTATATGAACAGAAAAATACGGATATATGCACACTAGATTACCTGAAAGAGGCAGAGGAAAAAAGACAGGGACTGATTTGAAGTAAGGAGAGCTACTATAGATAGGAAGTTTGTCTATAATAATAACAACATGTTTGCTATGATCCCATTTATATAAAATTAATCGTACGTGTATATTTGTCTTAAGAAGTCCATTCCTGGGAACCAGCATTTAGCATAATGGCTATGTCGCTGGACTCCCACATAGTCGACCACCGTTCGTGTCCCGGACCCTGTGGCTTAAACTCACGCCGGGCGCGTGTGCATGCATGCCCAAGATCCTGAGAGAAGAACGGAGGAGAAGGGATTGTGGCGTGCCCATCCCCCTGGGGAGGTGATTTCTCGCTTTCTGTCTCTATGTCTCTCTGCCTGGCGAGCGCATGTGCCCTATAGCGAAAAACCTCTCCAAAAAAAAAGTCCATTCCTAGGGCTGGCAGGTAGCATAGTAGTTAAGGTCACTGGACTCCCACATGGCCAACCATGGTTCAAGTCCTGAACCTGGCAGCTTTCTCTCTCTCTGCTCCTCTCTGGTCAAATTGAAAATAAATAAATAAATAAAATGGCTGACTACAGTTCGAGTCCTAGACCTGGCAGCTTGTTTTCCCACTTTCTCTCTCTATCTCTCTCTCTAGTGAGCAGACGTGCCTTGCAGCAAATTGTGAAAATAATAATGATATTAAATAAATAATTCTTTAAAGAAATCAATTCCTCAGGTAACTATGGGCACCAAGGTTTAAGAATTACAGATGTGATGGGGCCAGCAGATGACATAGTGGTTACATCACTGGACTCCCACATTGCTGACCACGGTTTGCATACTGGACATGGGGGCTCATGGTGCATGTGCGTGCCCAAGATCCCAGGAGAATGGAGAAGGGATTGCAGTGTGGCCATCCGCCCTGGGGAAGAATTTCTCACTTTCCCTCTCACCATCTGTTTCTCTCTCTGACTAGTGCACACGCCCTATGGCAAAAACCTCTAAGAAAAAAAAAAAGAGCTACAGATGTGGGGGGCCAACACATGGCGCAGTGGTTAAGGCTGTGGACTCCCACATGGCCAACTGCAGAAGAAAAGGGACTGTGGTGTGGCCATCTCCCGGGGGGGGGGTGGTGGTGGCGGGATTTCACTTTCTCTCTCTCTCCCTCTCTTGAGTACATATGCACAATGGCAAAAACCTAAAGAAAAAAGAAAGAAAGAAAGAAAAAGAATTACAGTTGTGGGCCAGCCCAGCAGTGCAGTGGTTAAGCCCTATGCATAGAGAAGTGGTTCTCAGTTCAAGTCCTAGCCCTGGTAGCTTAAAAAATGCACTGGGCAGCATGCATGCCCGAAGTACTGATGGAATGGAAAAATAGAGGGAAAAGGATTACAGCATGACCATGCCCCATTGGCAGAGGTGCTCTCTCTGGCAAGCACACATACTCTCTGGCAATTAAGGAAAAAGAATTATAGCTGTAATAGTGTTCTATCAGGTCTAGTGTGTAATGGTGTTCTATCAGGCCTAGTGTGATTCCTAAATAAAAACTAGTCTTTGTAACCTCTCTGTGAGAGTAGATTCTGTTTCCTTTAAGGGTATTTAAACAGAGGTGGAAGTGGCCATCTGTATGGCATGCCATTGAGAGGATTTCTGTATTTGATAGGAGGTAGAGTTAACATGATGTCCACTCACTGATGAACTTTACCAAAAGAAGACTACCAGACATTACATACTTCCTGATATCGGAGGCATAAAAGTCACATATTGGGGACCAGCAGGTGGCGTGGTAGTTGGGGTAGTTGGGGTGCTGGACATTCCCATGTGGTCAACCACTGTTCAGGTCCCAGACCTAGTGGCTTGCTTTCTCTCTCTCTTTCTGGTCAAAATAAAATAAATGAATGAATTAATTAAAAAAAAAAAAGTACCACGTATTAGTATTTTAAATTGAAACTGATGTTAATAAAGCCTCTAATATTGGATAACAGATTACAGGAAAAATGACTATTTGAAAAACCTATTATTTAAAATAAAAAACAAAAACCAGGGACCAGCAGATGGCATGGTAGTTGGAGCGCTAGAAAATCCCATATGGCTGACCACAATTTGAGTCCTGTACCTGGTGGTTTTCTTTCTCACTTTCCATCTATTTCTCTGTCTCTCTCTCTGCTCAAATTAAAGGAATGAATAAATTGAGGTCCCAGCAGTTGGCGTAATGCCTATGTTGTTGGACTCCCATGCAGTTGACCGTAGTTTGAGTCCCAGACCTGGTGGATTAAACTCACACAGGGTGTGTGTGTATGCATGCCCAAGAACCCTAGAGGAGAATGGAGGAGAAGGGATTGCGGCATGGCCATCCCCCAGGCAAGTGATTTCTCATTTTCTGTCTCTCTGACGAGCGCACATGCCCTATAGCAAAAAGAGAGGGGGAAAAAAAAGAATAAAGTAAATTAAATAAGTAATTATTTAAGGAAAAATAAAACAGGACCAGCAGATGGTGTAACAGTTATGTCACTGGACTCCCACGTAGTCAACAGCATTTGTAGTCCAAGACCCAACAACTTAAAAATCTCATGTTGGGCGCGTGAGCATATGGCTAAGATCCTTGTCATGTGATTATCCTCCCTGGGGGGTGGTTTCTCACTTTATCTCTCTCTCTCTCTCTCTCTCTCTCTCTCTCTGTGTCTCTCTGCTGAAAACAAGCACCCTATAGCAAAAAATCTCTCTCAAAAAATAAAAAAAGAAAAAGGAAAAAACACCTGTACTATAATCAGCAAAATCCAGAAGGTGTGAAATGCTATAAGACAAATGACCAG